ACTTAATTTGCATCTTTCGATCATAGTTTCTTTTCTGGATTAAGCATTAGCTAATATAACCCTTGAAGGCTATACTACTTCACCAACTCGGGATTTCTACTATGCAGATCCTCTGTCTGTAGATCTTATCAAGATTTATTCATGTAACGTTATATCTCGCCAAATACCTTGTCATACTTCCAATATCTGAATAATATTAGTGCAATATGATTTACAGCATTACAACCCCAGAAATGGACAGGGTTTACCGTAAGTTGGGTACAAAGGTCTGAGTAATTATTCAAATTCATCAACAGTAGGATTTAAACTCTAGACTTCTTGCATAGCAATCTGACAACCTAACTACTACATTAAGATCGTCAGACCTAATCAAACAGAATATTATTAATTAAGATATATTTGAATTATTTATAGAAAAAATTTTAAAAAGATAATTTGAATTAATAAGATTCATTTATAATTCAATCATAAGATAAAATAAGAAGAGATATTTCTTTAATACTAACAAATAAAAAAAATAGATAAAATCTCAAATATTAAAAAATAAGTTAGAACTTTATTTGAATATTAAAGATGAAAATATTCATAAAAAATATGTATGAAATAAATGAAAATTTATTAAGAATATAATATAACTAAATCTTTAATTAAGAAATATATATAACAAAATTTCTATAAATATTATAGATGAAAGTATTAATAAAGCTCTAATTATTAAGACAAATATTATATAAAATAATCTAAAAAATATCAAAAAGTATTCTTTGTTATTCAAATCAAAAAAAGATCTAAAGCAAACAATAAGTATTTATATTTAGAATTTTTAAAAAAAGATTTGAATTATTTTTATATAACTTATATTTATAATTACAATTTTTTGAAATACAAATATCACAAATCTAATAATCTCGTAATTAACAAACAAGATCTGAAACCTTTCTATTTAGAGAAAAAAGGAAAAAACAATAATTAGCTTTCTATTAAAATAAATTATAATTGTAAACTTACTTACTTATATAAAATAAATAAATAAATTTTTTATTAGATTTATAAAAAACAAATACAAATTAATGAAACACAAGATATAATTTATACTATTTTAATAAATCCTAATATTAGAACTCTATTTACTATACTTGATATTCTTTTACAAAAGATGTTAGGAAAATTAGTAATCATAATATAGATCAAATATACAATAACTTCATCTTAAAAAAAAAATAAATTATCTAATTTTAAATCTAAATATAAGAAAAAAAAACTTTCTGTTTAAACAAAACTATGCAAGAATAAGAAGAAAAATCTATAGATTACAGAATGAAATTCATAAAAAAACAATTAAATTCTTAACAAATGAATTTAATCATTGTAATTCTACTTTTTGAAACATCAAACATGATTAACAGAAAAACTAGAAAGATAAACAAGAAACTAGTGAAAAAAATGTTAGAATAGTCTCATTACAAATTCAAACAAAAATTGATCTCAAAATCTAAGAAAATAAGATAAAATGATCTTTCAAAATAAAGCTTACACTTCAAAAACATGTAGTTGGTGTAGTAATATGCAAAATATCAGTGGATCAAAAATATACAAATGCAAAATTGCAACATTGAGATAAACAGAAACGTAAACAGCGCCCGAGAGATACTCCTTTGGGCTTTGCTTGATGGAGCTATGATATTGTCATAAGACATCTTCATGCAGGAAATAGTAACTTTACTTAGTAACATTTAGTATTGATTACTATCGGTGCCGCTCACTTCACCGACAGTCATTTCACCGAAAGTTCATTTAGCCGACATCACATGGGGTTAGGGTTAGGGTTTTATTAGTTTCAGGTATATATTTTTAGTAAATTGTCACTTGGCGTGATGTCGGCTAAACGAGCTGTCGATGAAATGATTGTCGGTGAAATGATACGGATCCCATTACTATTGATGTATTACAATCCATCCGGATACGTATCGTGTTTTAGAACATTTGAAATTTTGTTATATTAGTACGATTTTTAAATAATTGACTTACCGTAGTCGAGAATAGTCTAGAGATTTCGGAGAATTAGACAATCAAGCAACATAAAATACAAACGTGGGTTCTGAAAATTTTGGGATATACATCGACTTGACGTAGTCGGCTATAGGGATGTAAAATGAACAGCTTAAACCCTAGGTCGGCTAAGCTGTACCAGCTCAAAGCGAAACACTAAATGTAAAGTAATTGCAGTAATGATCATCTGATCTAAAAATAGATGCGAACAAAATCTTACTCATTCTCCGAATACAGGAATAACGTATGCTTTGCTTTGCTTTTTATTTTATTAATAAAAACAACTATTAAATGTACTGATGTATACGTACGTGGTCAAAATAATTGTAATGATAATAAAAGCTAAGAATTTTATACGTACGTAGTAGCTTTAGTAACAATACGTATAAGGAATCACTATTATACAAGTATCTATATTAGTGGGGAAGTGGATACCGATACATGATGTGGCTATCTGCTATATTGAGAGAATTACGTACGCACGTACATACCGATACGTAAAGTACATCGCAGAACCTACTTCATATCGCCATATAATACGTATTAAATATAGATTCTATAACGATAAGTATTAATAATCTTTTTGTACTACGCTGCCAGGTTAGCCAAAATAACAATTAAATGCGGTAATCGTGCTATTTAAGTTCAATTCATACGGCAAAGAAACTCTAAATTTTTCAAAAATTATTGAACATGGTTTCGAGAATTTTTGGCGGTAATCCTTTTGAAGAGTTGGTGGGTATGTATATTTAAAGTTTATTACTAGTTTTTTTGAATTCTGCTACTTAAAAATTAATTCCTATTGACTTGTACGTACCTCTAGAAAAAGCCACCTCGGAATTGAACCCCATAGGTCAAGATAACTTGGCTCTGAATCTTGATATAAGTGATCAGATCCGTAGTAAGTCGGTTCAACCTAGAGAGGCACTGAGAGTTTTAAAAAAAAGGATAATGCACACAAATCCGAATGTTCAACTCTTGGCTCTTAATGTAAGTTTTGCTAACACTGACTTGCAGATCACAAAATATATGATAAAATAATAACCGAAATTTTTGGCCTAAACTTTATGTAGTTAACTGATACTTGTATTAAGAATGGTGGCCATCATTTCTTAGTCGAAGTCGCTTCAAGAGACTTTGTCGATACCTTAGTGTCGATTATAAAATCGGTAATTTTATCAGTATAGTCTTACTCCGCATTCAACACTTTAACTAACTTTATGTCAATCTTAACTGTATATTAGAGTAATTCTAATCCTGAGGTTATACAAAAGCTACTTGGATTGATTCAGACGTGGAGTTCAGCTTTTGATGGCAGACCCGAACTTAAGTATGTTACGGAAATTTATTATTCGTTGAAACACGAGGGTAAGCCGAATTTTATTTTATTTTATTTTATCAACGATTAATCTGATTTACCTTTGTAATTACTTTTAGGTTACATATTCCCAAAAATTGATAAGGCACCTACAGTTATGATTGATACTGCAACGGTAACAATTTAATTTCCTTTATACATTGTAATGATGTAACATCATACTGACATTTTTTCCATTAATACGAATTAAGCCACCAGAATGGACTGATAGTGAAGTTTGCGTGCGATGTAGAGTACCATTTACAATGATAAATCGAAAGGTATTACAACGAAAATTTTCATTTCAAACTCGCTTGTTATAATTTAATAAAAAAATTTGATTAATGGTGTCGACCTGATATAAAATAGCATCATTGCAGGAATTGTGGTCACACTTATTGTGGTGAATGTTCCGCTAAGACAACATCACTACCACATTACGGTATAAACGAACCTGTGCGCGTATGTGATACATGTTACATGAAAAAGCAACAAAAAGATAAAGGGTAAAAATTACTGTTAATTAGCAAAAAAAAAAAAAAAAACTATATTTTTCTATTTTCTTCTAACTTCTTCTTCACATCATTCTAGCGTTGATCTTTCGAGTTTTAAGTCTTATTCAGCTCTTACACAGCCCACATTATACTCAAATTCAATCTCGACTTCCGTTAACGTTAACGGGAACCATAATACATCGAGTCCTCAAAACACGAATAATGATGATGATGATGATGCGGATTTGAAAAAAGCAATTGAGCTTTCATTAAAGGAAGCTGAATACAATAGAAACTATGTACAACCTGCACTGCAGAAATCTGCGAAAAAAGTTGAGCCCGTAAAGCAAGTAGTAGTAAAACAGGAGGTAGTAAAGCAAGAGGTATATTTTATTTATTATTTATTATTTTTACAATAATAACTGTTCTAAAAGCAGGTGCTAATATATAAATTTTATATATTTATAGGAAGAAGAGATGGATGAAGATTTGGCTGCTGCTATTCAGGCTTCCCTTCAGGAAATGCAAATTAGCAAAACCCAAAAATCACCTGCTTACAACGTATCTGATTATTCACCTTATAAGGCAACAACAACAACAACTTCAACTTCGTATGAATTGTCGCCAATTGAGGCAGAGAACATTTATAACTATTCAGAAACGCTTGAACGAATTCGACAAAGTGGTGGAGATTTGATGAGAGATCGTCAAATTCAGGTTTGTTTTAATTTAAATTTATAGTTGCTATTTATATAAAGACTCGGACTTGAACATTTTTTTTATTGCCTAATTATTAGGAATTGCATGAACGAGTTGGAGAGTTGAAACCAAAATTAACCAAAAGTTTGACCGAAACGATACAAAAACATCGTGAGTAAATTCAATATAAATAATAATAATAATAATAAATCATTTCAGAAATGACAAATGACATTAATTCATCATTTGAATTATTTAGAGGATCTTTTGGATATGCACGAGAAATTGTCGCAAGCTGTTAAATTGTATGATCGATTATTGGATGAAAGATTTTCAAATTCGTCACGACGTATATCTACTATTTCTTATTCTATACCCCAGCGAGCAGCCTCATCAGGGATTTCCGGCGTTGGAAATATTTATCCTTCTGTTGCATCCCCAAACCAAACATCAAACATATATTCGCATGTACCAGCTTATCCAGTCGCGTCAGCACCTGCAACTTCACCATCCTATGTAGCTGCACAAACGGTACCATATACACAGCCTCAAGCGCAAGACTTTTCTGCACCTATTGGAACTCAGCAAACGCCTACTCCTTTACAACAACATTCTCAACAAATACAACAACATTATCAACAAATCCAACCATCCTTTAATTATATCGCAACTTATTGTAAACTCTGCTTGTTTCTAGGAGTTACAACTCTGAAATTATATTGTACTAATGTCAATCAGACATTAGAAGTGTAATGCAATGCTCAAGTTACATTACATAAATAAATCTTGATAGGATTTATAGGCAGAGGACCTGCATGGTAGAAATCCTAAGTTTAGTAAAGTAGTACAGATTTTGATAGTTAAGCTAGTTAACATCTGATCTAGTAAAAAATCTGAATACAAAGGATATGAGATTGATAGATGCGAGTAAGTCTGCTGTGTAATGCAGGCTAGTGCCTTGCATTAGTAACAACACCAACTTGGCTTAGCAGCTAACTAGATTAGGAAGATCTACTTCGTGAAACATCTAGCTAGAACTTGGAGAACTATATCTAGTAGACAGCTACGGCAGGAACTGGGTTTGTATAAATATCGACAAAGGTCTAATCCAGGTGAATCTGTGAAATGGGCACATGACCACTCTGGTAGGAAATA